TGATGGACTGGCATTCCGTTTAGGATGTAGCTGTGTGCCCTGTGCTGCCAGACCCCCTAAAATCCTCTTTAGGATAAAGCATTGGAAGATGGATGAAAGGAACAATTTTGGGGTGAATATTTATTCCAACCCTGCACTAGATAAGTGGCTGGAAGATGGATGGATGAGTGGGAATATTTAGCTTTAATACTTGCATATAATTAAACCAATGGTGTATCAATATACTGTACGCCAATATTTCATAAATACTAAATGTTCTTGATTTTCAACCCAGTTTTAGTTATTTCCAGGTATATATGTAATTAAGGGCTCTGTACCATTTCCAGGTCTCTCCAAGCCCTCTATGGGCTGAAGGGGCCACTCAGCATTCATACACAGGCGTTTTTCTGAAGTATAATCTCCCAGATCTTTACAAGTCTAGATTGCGGGTCGGACATTGAACAGACTGTGACCTTCTCAGGCACCCATTGTACCAGGGTAGTACCTGGCTACTCAGTTCTGAGCCTGTGTGTAATGTTCCTTACTATCAGCCAGTAAGCTTTCCTTCACTTCACTCTGCAATGGCTTTCAAAGTCCCAGGTTTGACTGCCTTAGTACCTTTGTGATCTTTTCTGCTGTTTTATCTGACTCTCACCTCTCAGGAATCCCTTTCATTTCTAACACCTTCAGGGAAGAGGTAAGGCGCAGCTCGGAATCTTTCCTTCTTCACCCAGTGGACAGTTGGCGTTCTCATCAAACGCAGACCCGTCTCAGCCCACAGCCTCAGGTCACTGACAGCGTCACACAAAACCGTTTCTCCTCTGTATTACAAGTGCAGCATACTACAGTCATACCACAGGTTTCTCAACAGTACTGTCTGCTGTTCTTTACAGAATGACAGATATTACAGATTCCTTCTCTTTCATTAGAAAGAAAGCAAATTATGTTCCCTGCAAGGTTTCCACATAGCAAGTAAAAGCTCATAAGCTAAAAAAGGCAGGCTTATGTAAAACATCTAAATGCATGCAAATATATGCATCGTATTGTACTGTAGTATGACAATAATGTGAACCAATTCTTCCGAAATATAAGCATTGTATTGAGCGTGATAATTCATTCACATTGTCTTTGTTTTAAGGCTGTCCATCCAACTTCAATGTATGAGTGACCGTCTTTGAATCTTTTAAATGCTTTTTTCTTCTGAAGAAGGTTAAGACTACATTATTTTATGAGCCTGATTTAGTACCTTCTTACATTCTTACATTCTGTTAACTTTCCTGTACTGATTAATCAGCACACAGATGAGTTTTTTTCAAACTGTATTAAAAGTGAATGTTATTGTGCATTCCAAAGGATTCATTTCTAACATGCGCTGACTTCTTTGTAATTGACAAAACTTGCTGTGAAATGTATAAACAAACAGCAGCCTGCCAGTCTCAGCAGTAATGGGACTTTAATTACATTCTGTGAGATTATCATTCCTGACAGGTGTTTCAAACTGCAGTGTCTGTGTCCACAGTGCATGTACTCTTACACCCTTTATGTCCTTCAAGCCAAGCCTCGCAAACACAAATATGACACAATATCCGCGTGAACAGTGCCAGTGTTTGCCCTGTGTCAGAATTTCATCAAGTTTTTCGCAAAGTGAAGGCGGGAAAAAGAGAGAAAAAATACATTTTGTATTTCTTTCATTTGGTTGCAGCAGAAAGTAATGAACCAGGCAATCTTTTGGCATGAAAAGGTTGTTGTGCTGCTCGATAACTCAGTACAACTAATGAGATGATTATGGCCAGCTGTTTAAATACTTTGATTACCAGTGAAGCATATTTGGATCAGTACTATCCAATATAATCTGACCCTGGCTTTTTCCATCTGAGTGAAGTTATCTGCACAGAGACACAACAGGCCAAGATCAAAATAAAAAACCACGAAGACCACGGAAAGTTGATGTCCATCAGTCTGGAATTGGCTTAAAATCATTTGTAAGTCTGTAAGTTTCAACCAAATCGTATTCAAGGGCAAATGGTTCAAGGGTAGAAGATAATGAATTTCCCAGGGAGTGACTTTCCTGATGAATTCTTTCAAAGAACAATGAGCTACACCATCTAGAAACATTCTGGGAATCTTAGAACCACATCCAGGAATCTGCAGACCTATCCTGACTTAGCAGAGGTCAGTGGATCATGACCCCACATCTATAAAGAAACATGTACGACCCTGTAAGTTCCGAGAGAATGAACAACAAGCAGGAAACGTATAACACTGTCACAAGCTAAGAGCCATGATCAAATGAACGCTTTGATGCGTCAAGACCAGGATCTGACTCTACACCAGAAAAATCTGCAGCATGGTGTCAGTTCATCCACCCTTGAGCACAAGGTTCAAGCCTTAAACCTCTATAAACACACATTTCACACAGATGAACTAGTTCTGCGTGGAAAATGGGGCAAAAATACCTCCAGAGTGCTATGTAAGACATCAATAACCGCTGGAAGTGTTTGGTTACTGCCATAGCTGCTAACAGAGGTATAAGCAGTCAGCGAGTGAAAGGGGGTCATGCTTTTTTTAAACAGGGGTTGCTGAGTGCTCCCTAACTGTCATCCATTCAGCTTCCATAATTCCCATTACCCAGTACAGGCTTGCGGTGGATCTCAGGAAGCGAAAGGGCACAAGGAAGAGGACACCTTGGACAGGATAGCAGCACAACTTCCTACACGGAATTATGTAAGGATGGAAACTGTTATTTTAATGTTTTGTCTAATTTTGGTTTCTGTTTCAATTAATATGGAAATGATTATTGTATGATTAGCATATTACATTCCATGTATATTGTCGTCTTTTCTAAAACAAAAGGAATATATGTTTTTAGGACATTAACTGTTTCCCTTTGTCAAGAAAATGTAAGGCTTGATTAACGGGGCCTTTTTTAAGTGAATCAACAAGGAGCCCTGGGTGCTTTCCCCTCTATTCCCCATATGTAGTGTGTTACCTCTGGAAACGGTGGCTTTTTGCAGTCCTGATTGTAATGTAGGGCGGCTTAGTGCATCACACCTCTAGGTCTGAGAGTTCAAATCCTGCTTCTGCTCTATGCATGTGGAGTTTGCATTTTCCCTGTGTTGCGCAGGTTTTCTCACACAGTCCAAAGACACACCATACGGCTAATTGGTGTCTCCAGGGTTCCCGCAGAGTGTGAGTGTATGTGCCCTAGGAGGGGTTCCTCGTGGTGCTTGGAACAGGTGCCAGGCCCCCGGCGACTCTGTACTGGATAAGCGGCTGGAAGATGGCTGGATAGATTATTCTAATCACCAGCACAGGTGCTGTTTCCATTTATGAGCTTTTAGTGCCTCCAGTGAAATGCAGGTCTGGGCACATCACGCGTGCTGTTGGGTTCTGGGCATTGGGGCTGTGCACAGACTTTTTGAGGAGCAGGTGTCTTTATTCGGGGGAGGGGGGCTCCTCCTCAGCAGTTTTCAATTTTGCATTATCATGGGGCACCTCAGAAGGGGGACACTCTCAAAAGGGGCAGGTGCCGGGGCACCCCCCTCCCCCCCACACGTGCTTGCTGGTCATCATCCTTTTCAGTTTGCACAAATGTTCGTAGGATTGGGATCCTGCAGTGTCCAAAAACACGAAAACTGTAGACAATCGCTGACAACATCCCCTGTGGTCCGAGATGACAAGCAGTTGATACCAATTCATTTTTTTCTGGATTAGAAGGTGGAGGAGGAATGTATGAATGTTCTCTCACATTTGGTAGTACTGTGATGGTTTCTATTTAGAAACATGAATTCTTTAACGTTAAGAGTAGATGGCTGATGGAGAACTCACACTAGTAGAATGAGTAGATATATCTTGCTGATACTTGGTTCCTGTATTGGTTTTGTAGGTCATACTGGCTATTGAGTAAAAGTGCTTAGGGAAAGATTATTCTGGCCCAGTTAAAGGGACTGACATGTACTGCAAACATACCTCAAACAACTAATAATACAGAGACTTATCAGAGTGATTCACAATGTTCCCCAATTATAATACCTGCATATTTTTCTATCGGTTTCTAACCTAGACATTCACTGGAAGTGGGGGTCATAAATTCAAATTCAGTTGGAATGTCTTTAGCTAAGCTTTCCTGTGTTGCCTCTCCTGACTGCATCCTGCAATGTGATTGTGCCTTTGTAGTTATGATAACTGTAATATAGAGACACCACAACACAGTGACTATAATTAACATTAACACAATTAAAAGCAAAATTCCTGAATCACTTTGCACCTTGAAAAATAAACACGTTTCTGTATGGGTCATTGTAGGCAAAGGTAAGACAAAAAAAAGCTACATTAGGGTGGATCACACCTCAAGGGATGGAGGTCAAACCATGTTCCCCCGTTTCCTCCGAAAGCCCAAAGACACGCAGTTAGGCTAATTGCTATCTCTAAATTACAGTATAATTATGTATGTATATATCTGCCCTGCAATGCACTGCTGTCCTGACTGTACCCCAGTGTTGTGAACCCTATGCTGCCTGAGATGAGCTCAAGTATCCCTCCCCCATCCTGACCAGGATAAAAAGGTACAAGATAAATGGATGGATCCATCGCGTTGCTAAATCTTTACACAAAATTTCCACAATACTTTTTAGCAAAATACAAATATTAATTTGGAGAGCCGAGTATCTGCACAGATTGTGTGGGATTTACACGGGTCAGTGAATCCTCCCTTTGGGGTATTTTGCTGATGTGCCTTCGGCTGCTGGGCCCTTTGAATGTTACCAATTTTCAGCAGCTTTTTCCCGACTTGAAGAAACTGACTTTGATGTACTGCTTAGTGTTAACATTTCCCTTTATTGAATTGTATGGGCTCCATGTAAGAAAGCAGTATGTTCCAAATCTTGGGTCCTTTGTTCTCTTGCAATAAATTATCTGTGGTGTTAATCCATATAATTGAATTACACTTAAGAGTCATCGGTAGGGTTATTTGAAAGTTTAAGATGTGGTATGCTGTATAATAATATCTAAATGTATTCCGTCTCACCAAATCTGGGCTTTAGTATCTCAGGAAGCTGGTATATATTCAGAAGAATGTGAAGTAATTCTAGAAAGGCAGGATCAACTTTTTATAATGAAATATGCTTTTGTCATTCAAGGTCTGGGGAAGCGCAGTAATGTTTGTGATCATTTGTGATCATATTTCATGCTTGGTGATGATGGAGCTGAAGATAGTATATTGCAGCAGAGAGAAAACCTAGCGTGTGTCAATGTAGGTATGTGAGGAGACATGTGACAGGAGGGAAGCGATGCTGATGTGGTGCTTTGGCTAGGTAATATCGACTGGACAAGTATAGCCCAGCTTATGTAAGACTGTACACGACTCTGTCATCCAGGACATAACAAACTTGTTAAATATGGCATTTTGTTTAAGTGTGATTTTTCAAAAGCATTTGAGTTGTGCCTCTGGCTCTGTGTGCGGGATTCGCATCTTCTTGCATGTGGATAGGTGACTTATAGTCTCAGTATGTGTTCGTGTGCCATGTGATGGACTGGCAGCCCAGCCAGGGTGCCTCCTGTCCCCGTTCTTAGGATAAGATCAGGCCTACTGTGACACTGTACTGGATAAGCGGATATGGAAGATAGACTGATGTGCTGCCAATGTACACAGAAATGTCTCTGAATGTAGATCTGCAACACTGATCCCATTTTAATGCACGTGCCCCCTAGACCCCCTGAAATATACGTTGATATACTCAGAAATATGTGGAATGCAGTCATGCTGAATATAAGAATTACTTAGCACTTTGCAACGAAAGAGTTCAAAGCAAAACTAGATAAAATATGCATCCTCCCCTGGTCATGTATGCAAATTATTGTTCAGTCATTATTTTAGTGTGAAGTTTGCCATGAACACTGGATATAATCAGGTCTGCTGCTGTTCATATTGCTTAGTAATTAGCAACAAAAAGACTACCTGTAATACTAATTGATGTAATTATATTCCATTACAGTAACACTGGTGATATTTAAGGTAATATTAATAATGATAATCTTGATGTAGCACCTTAACAGTGTTGTTATTAATATTATTATTAGTATTATTATTTTGGAAGTTCATAGGCCCACATGTGTCTTGGCAGGGCAACAGGGACGCCTCCCTTATGGAAGCAGACAAGCACATCTTCTCTCTCATACTCAGCCAAGCGCTCTGCTTACACCTTCACAGGCAGAGGTCAATGTGACAGTGATAAGTTACAACAGGTAAGACTGCCAGTGTCTCCAGACTTCAATGACTTTGAAAATAGGAATTTGAAATGAAGCAGTGCTGACAGTTAATCTGTGATCACAGTCAGCTCCGAACCTGCGCCAGCCTAGTACTCTCCCTTCCTCTGTGACCCTGTAGTGGGACAGTGGTTTGAAGATCGATGGATGGATGGTGGACATTCTGTTCCCTAATCAGTTTTCCTAACAAGATCCTTAAGATCCTAAAATATGCACCTAATAGGGAATCATCCATCATAATTAAGTAAATGAATGAAGCACAAATTCTGACATGAATGAAACCTTATGCCTTGTATAAACTGAAAATTACTATGATTTTTGGAGAATGTAACTTTGTATTCTGAAATATAACTGATGTAGCAAGACTTCATGGATATTATGAAATCTGCATGTATTACATTTAAATGCGTTTGATGCTTCTGAAGCCCAATTTGATCGCCAAGTTTTGCACAACACTGCAGTGCAGTATTCCGAGGCAGAATCAGGACCCTGGACAGGGGAGAATCTGTCGGTCTCAGAGCACAGGTTTTTCTGCCATATAGAGTATTAGCTATTGGTTATAAAGTAGGAATTTATCACTGTGCATATAATATACATGAAAAGGCAACGTTAGATATAGAAAATAACATGATTCTGAAACCATTTGTACAGAAATGAGTAATATAAATTTTGCCATGGGAAACAATAAGGCACATTAGCCCTCGTAATCTCTATTAATATGGTTTTTCAGTTCCTACAAGTCATACACACATACAGACAAAACACATGACGATTATCATGCATTTATTGAATTTTTTTTTTCCTCGAGCACTTTTTCTGTGACATTCCCGGCATGCTTTTCTCGAAGAGAAAACGATCGCGAAAGATTAACATGCATCCGTATCTGTGCGTTTGTGTCGGAAGGGTTTGCCCTACCATATAATGTAAAAGTTAAATTGCAGTACAAGCAACAGACAGGAGCAGGCAGTCGGGAAGACAGGGAATGAGCAGAGCCAGGCGGACAGATGCAGGTTGACAAATGCAGCCCCGGGGGGTGACCGCGCTCAAACAAAAATCGTGCCCCGGTGCCAAGTTATGGTGCCATGAAGCAGGCTGCTGGATTCTGCACCAATTGCGTGTCTATAGGTGCTGGATCCCTCATTCTCCCGCCTCAAGGGGAAACGAATCATTATTCCTGTCACAGCAGCCTTGCAGTAGGAGCTACTGTGAGGCACAGTAAGTTAGGGCAGGTAATCAGCCTCAGCAGTAGAGTCGAGCCCATCTCCTTCATCTGTCATGCACTCTTACTCTTTTGTCTTTCGGCAGGAACGATTTTGCCACCTACCCAGGCTGTTGGGTCCCCCATCGCCTTCCTCGCTGTCGGTCAGGTTGTTTAGCATCTTGGCTTCTCTAGGAGGTTGTGCAGAGAGAGAGCGCTCCTGGACTGCTGGCTCGCGCGTTTATCCCAAACGTGGAAAAAAAAAAAAAGCGCAGCGACAGAACCATGAGGACGTGGGAATGAATATACTCTCTCCTCCTCAGGCAGAGCAGTGACAGCGAGGACAGGGGATGGCAGCTTTCCCTCCTTCTCTCCCTGGCGTTCTCTCCTGCTGCTGCAGCGCAGCTCCCCCTGTACCGAGGACACGGAGGGATAAGGAGGGTAAAGGAGGCGTGTGGATGACGGACCGCCTTTGAGCAGCAGCGCACACACATGCTCATTCCGCACTCCACAGTCACCGCCAGCCCCTGAGTGGGGCTCAGCCTAATGACTGACTTCATCATGTATTCAGCAGGCATAATCTGCCTCTTTCTCTCCAGCGGAGGGGCGGCAGAGAGAAATCGTGAGAAGAGATGGATGATGCTTTCGTTCAGGTGCTGAAATAATGTTTGACTTTTCTTATCCTTCTTTAATAGCACCTGTCCTTTTCCCCCACTGAATGATTCCATTCTCTTTTCTAACACAGAAGAGATACTTTTAGCCAGAGTTCCATTTCTCCTGTTTCTCTTCTACTCACACATTTAGTCAATTAAAACAATAAAGAATGAAGACAGAGTGAGCTGCAGTAAAGCTTTTTTGCATAATAAAGATGCTCAGTTTATTGAGAGCTGTGAAAGGTTACAGCACAGCAGATGTAGATCATCTCTACAGCTTTTTCGAACGTTCAGAGGAATCATTGCTTGGCTGTGGATGAGGATCGTATTCGATGCAGTAAATTGTACCAGCAAAACAGCTATGGGCATTAGTTTGTATCCACGGGTGTGTCTGTGAGCATGTCACGGGGCTCACATCAGTGTCTGAATGTCACACGCAATTAACGGTGTGTCACTTTGTGAGTGGGTCTTCTGGGCTGTCATGCTCACAACCTCAACATTCCATGATCCAGACAAAGACATATTGAATGTCTGTGAATAAAACAGATTAGACATGGCACCAAAGCATTTGTTGTGATACAAGGAGCCAAATAATAATGGACCTCATTGCTGTGTAAGTTCCCTAAACACAACAGAAGTCTTTCACTTCTGCTAAATGAAAAAAATCTACCTATTGACTAAGAGAGACATAAAACAGAGGTTCCTAAAGACAAGACAAAAAGAACTGGACAGAGAATTGCACCAATGGCTTCTGATGTATTTATGGATGTAAGACGTTATCCTTGCAAAATTGGAAGGAGTGCGTTTCTATCCTGCTGGAACATGTAATTTTGTTCAGTTAATCGGAATAAAATCAGTTGTAACACTGCAGCTCCCTGATAGCTTTTTTATTGTTCAGCACTGTCATTTAGTTGTTGTCTCGATGTCAGTCTGGCATGTGAAGCAAAATAAATAAGCTGTAGTTCCAGAATCTTACCTCAGATTCCCCTTCTGCTTTTTCCACGCTTCCCTGCCCAGATGTAGGTGAGAGCCAGTCCCTGGTGCCGGGTGCAGTGAGCACCACAGTCGGTGACTTACAGCAGTCCTTCAGGTCTCATCATAAATATCCCCTGCTCTAGATTCCTGTGTTTTAACACTGAGGGTGATCCCTCTAACGGGCTGCCTTACACCACTTGAACAGTATTAGATTTAGACTGTAAGTCTATAAGTCTTATCACAGACTACTGGCCTCAATTACAAATAAATATGGCTCGTTAAATTTAAGATCATCGAGGTAACATTTACACTTATACACAGCTGTTGTGGGATGTGTTATGTTATGAACAGCCAAGGTGATTCAAATGAAACATCACAGTTCATTAAAATTAAATGAACAGTCTTCGAAATATAATTAGGATGATCATTTTTATCATCACTTTTCCGTATTATATCCAGTTTGGAGGTGGCATTTTATGAACATGATGCAATACACTGCAAATATTGTGTTGTATTGATATAAAAATGATGTTGAAATGCTTGGTACACAAATTACCATTCCAGATATGAACATAATGTTTTGAAAGCCCTCTTAAACTCCCCAAACCCTGAAAGATGCCCTTGATCCAATTTTTGTGATACTAAACATATTAGACAAAGGAAAAGTATAAATTGGAAAGATGTTTGGTGAAGCATGACAAATATTACAATATTAATGAACAAGTGTGCTCACATTACCATCGCACGGGATGATTTTCTGTGGAAAGGCAGGTTATAACTATTTTTCAGACAGTGTAATTATTTCCTCCCGCAATTCCCTCATCATGTTAATGTAATCGCTTCAGTAAATCAGCTTTCTGGACAAGACTTCCTCCTCTTTCAATGGGGACGGACCTGATAAGCAGATAACTACTGAGAGATGTCAGATATTGCAGTATAGCAGTACAAGTCCCACCACAACCTAGAGCAATTCTATTAAGTGCCTTAAAAGAGCATTTGCACTGAAAACTGATTTGTTTGAATCAAACCATTACTGGCTCTGAATCTGGGCAATTGAAACATTCTCTGTTCAAAAGACTGAGTAAAACAGCATAGGCCTGATTTTGCAGCATTCACAATACAACTCATTCTCCCTGTTTCTTGCAATATTCCTTATGTAATAATAGATAATCAGGAACAATTGCTAATGATAATCGTCCTGGTTGTCATACCAGAATTTCCTACTTCTGTCTCTGCACTGTGCTCTGACAATGAAATTAATCAGCATACATACTTTTTAAGTTTTCCCCATTGGCTATACGTTTTTCTCTTCTGTATAATTTTACACTTACATAGCTTGAATCTATTAGTAGTCCTTTAATTACTTCCAATTCTAATATGTTGACTATTGTTAGTTTTTAAAGACCTTTTTCTTTTTTAATTTTCATGACATTATGCAGATCTTTGCAATGCTTTATACATCTTTCATTGCCCCCCTATCCGGCCATCCAGCGTCTCTGTAACAGACTTCATTGCCGATACCCTGAAGGCGAATGTAATTGATATGTTAGTCTCCCTGAAATAATGAGCTGTCTCCTTTGGTATGTTTTATCATTGGCTTTTGTGTAATCATGGAAAAGGGTAAATTACATATACATTACATATACATATACCATCCATCCGTCCGTCCATCTGTCCATCCATCCATCCATCCATTCATGTCACTATTTATCCTCTATAGGGTTATGATGGGCCTGCATATATAGACTACATGTTTACATATAAAAACACAACTTTTAGATATACACTTACCTAAAGGATTATTAGGAACACCATACTAATACGGTGTTTGACCCCCTTTCGCCTTCAGAACTGCCTTAATTCTACGTGGCATTGATTCAACAAGGTGCTGAAAGCATTCTTTAGAA